GTGGGTTCGTGTGTGTGTGCAAAGCTTTTGTAAGGCAGCTAAGGGAGTGTCAAAAGTCTAATGTCAATAATGAGCAAACCTCTAATTATTGAATCATGTATAATTTTGACTTATATGTATATTTGGCAAGTCTTTGTGTAAACAAAAATACAAATTTTCATTTCTTTGCCAGCTTGGAAAATATAGGCTTATTTTTACTAAAACGTGATATAAAGCTCATTAAAGTGTTCTGTAATGCCTTTTTGTAAGTTTGTTATCATAGTTCTTCGTATTTTTATTGTCCACTAAACGTGAGTGGCTTCAATTTAAAAAGTTCTAGTACAAAGAATTTCTTTGTTCTGAATTTGTTTGTTTATTGTTTTTAATTTTTAAAATTCATACTTTTGACATGTATGTGAATGGCGGAGTTGCCGCTTTCCTCCTTTTCGGTGGGTTTTTATATTAAAAAGGCATCAAAATGGGAAAAACCCCCCTCTGTACCTCTGCATTTTTACAGTATCTCCCCATAACTTTTCATACGAAAAAATTTATTATATGCATCCCACTCGATATCATTGAATTCCTCATTAGAACATGTAGTCCCTCTATTTTAGCGTATCAACAGTTCATATGGCTTCATACCATGTAAATGCACCATTATGTTGCCACAAAGAGCAACTAACATTTCTGTTAGCACTTACATTTGTATATGCATATTTATGTGCATACATATGTATGTATATAATTACGCATAAAAACCCTGCTGCTATGTTTTTTGTACGTAAGTGAGTGCAATATTAAAAACAGCAACTTTTATCCATCTATGTATATCGCAAAGCTCGAGAACGGCTGAACCGATTTTTTTGAAATTTCGGACATCTGCTGCAGACGTTCAAAGGATGGTTATCGGCTAAAAACAATCTCGATAAAAGGAACGTGGAACCTCCCATACGAACCGAATTTTTCATACCCCATATCTCTGGAAATGTTCATGGTAGAGTTCTGGAACTTGGTATGGAGATATATGAAATCCATCGCATACTCTTGGAAAAAAAATTGGAGCTATCAGAAAAGGGGGCGTGGCCCCTCTCATACAAACCGAATATTCAGCGCTATTCTGCATTTCGATTACGTTCCCGCATTCCGCTCCGCAAGAATCGAACTTAGGTATTCTGCGCTACGATCGAATCGAAAGAGGAAGAGGAAAAGAGAAAACATCTTTCGAAATCATCTGTTTGCATAGGAATGTGTGAAATCGAAACAAAACAAAATAAATATTTGCGACCAAACTAAGGTGGCTTATGAAGTTAAAGTTTGTAAATATTTTAAAATAACTAAATATATCTAACATCATTTTAATTTAAAAAGTAAATTTCGTTTTTGTTTAATTTAAGTGGAAACATAAGTATAAAAATAATAGCCGCGGCGTTATTATTTGAAGAGGAGAACGAGTCCCAGATTGCTGATGAGGAAATTGAAAGGTGGAGATTTAGGGACATGTTTGATCTTTTTCAGATGAGTGAAGAGTCATAAATTCATCATGAACTGTATTACTCATCGCTCAAAGCCAGTGAAATTATAAACGTTGTTTAAGCACTCCACAACATTTGCATTTAGTACAGAGTGGAAGATTTGGACGCAAATGAATTCCATTTTGAAAGCCGTCAGGAGGAGGGTAAGAACAAAGCTCCATAGCAAATCGAATTCGAGACAACATACGCACCTCTTTTTAAAAAGTTAGTAAAAACGGGTGCAATAATAAAAGCATATTTTTTATGTATGTATGTATGTATGTACATACCTCTATTAATTTTATTCAGTGCATTTCACAGTCTTATTTATAGGTAATGAAAACAAAAACGCCTGTGCTTCCTCTTTGAAAACCTCGCGCAATATCCCTTTTGGTTGCCAATATTTGAGCCAATTTTTCGTATTGCCCGTATTACCGCTGCGACAACACAGAAATCGAGAAGATTCATTTATGATGACTTACAATCATGCACAGTATATTTACTTAATTTTTTTTATAAAATTTTGTTATTTAAATCCACGAAAATAACAATCTTAACGTTCTCCGTCAACAAATTTGCAACGTAGAAAAACGGAACTACGATCGAAATGTAGAATAGGTATAATCGTAAATTTCGAAGATTGATCGAAAGGAAACGGAACGCAGAATACCAAAGTTGCCAAACGGAGAAAATTTCGATTCGAGTCAAATGCAGAATTGGGCTGATTCATTCTGCATATCTCTGAAGTGTTCATGGTAGAGTAATGGAACTTGGTATTGGCGCATTTGAAATCGATCGCATACCTTTGGACCTATTGGAAAAGCGGGCGTGGCACCTCTCTTTCAAACCGAATTTTTCGTACTGCATATTTCTGGAAGTATTTATGGTAGAGTATTGGAACTTGGTATGGAGATATATAAAATCCAGCGCATACTCTTGGATTAAAATTGGAGGTATTTGAAAAGGGCGCGCGGCCTATTTCTGGAAGTGTTCATGGTAAAATTTTTGAAAGTGGTACGGAAATATATGAAAGCAATCACATACTCATGGAGAAAAATTGGAGTTGTTGGAAAAGGGCGTGACACCTCCTATACACACCGAAATTGTCATACTGTATATCTCTGGAAATGTTCATGGTAGAGTTCTGGAACTTGGTATGGAGATATATGAAATCAATCGCATACTCATGACAAAAAATTGGGACTATTTAAAAGGGGGCGTGGCACTTCCCATAAAAACCGAATTTTTCATAATAAGAATCTCCGGAGAATTGTTCTTGGTAGAGTACTGGAACTTGGGGTGGTGATATATGAAATTAATCGCATAGTCATGGAGGAAATATGGAGCTATTGGAAAAGGAAAGCCGAATTCCATACTGCATATCTCTGGAAGTGTTCATGGTACAATACTGGAAAACTTCGTATGGAGATATATGAAATTAATCCCATACTCATTGAGAAAAATGGGCTCTTTAAAAAGGGGGGCGTGGAAAAGTGCAAACGTACTGACTTTTACTTATCTTTGAA